AGCTGGAGGAGAGAAGATTGTGGTCCTTGGAGGTTTTTGATCCATATCCGCATAACTCCAATGTAAAGTCTCTTTACAACACTTGTACAAGTCTAGAGAGGATCCATCTGGAAGATAAAACAATAAAAGAGAAGATTGGATTAGAATCTTTTGATGATCTAAACATGGAGAAGGACTCTGTTCATGAGTTTGTGAAGAATGTTCTTGAAGCTTCAAGACTGAACTGGAGTAACCTCGTGGCGAGATGCAACGAAGAAACATCACTACTCGACGAATTCTCACACGGCAATCCCAACAATAATCAGATTCTTCTCGTTCTTGATTACACAGATGAGATTCTCCGAGAGATTAATCGTCAAGACATCATCATGTTTTGGCCTTTCTTGAGAGTTGACCTTAGAGAAGAAGACCTGATTCAGGAGACGCTGAGACGTTTTGACTGGAGTTTACTCTGCTGTGACTCTCCAAGAACGTTGGATCAGATCATTGAGACTGATCTGTTAAAGTTATCATCATGTGTTTGGTCGGGTTTTGGTGGTGAAACTGAAGGTGTGGTATCTGATGTAGTTGAAAATATTCTGCAACGGTTGGTGCTTGACATATCTCATGAGCTGAAGAACAATGCATTGCAGAGTATATTATTCTGAAATTCTTAACCGACTATTCAACATATTTTTTGCTATGTATAAAAAGAAATTTCAGTTTAAGAAATCTTCTCTTCGTAATTATAGTTTCCATATACTACAAAAGTAATCATCTTTTTTTTTCCAGTTTTTCTGATTGCAGTTGAAAGCTTCTGACTCACTAAAAGGTTTTGAGTTTTGACTTTGACCAATCGGATATTGTGAGTAAAATAGTACTTTACCTAAAAAGCAAAGAACCAAACCAAACAAAAACATTTAAACCGAATTTCACAAACACCCAAATGCTATACAAAAATTGGAAATGAACCTAGAAAATCTTAGGGAAAATTCCATATAAATACCCCAACTAAATTTTATTAAGTTTTTTAATACCCAAACTTTTTCGCTACCCAGTTTAATACCCCAACTAATTATTTTACCCATTTTAATGCACAAACATTTATAAATGTGCCCATTTTAATACCCAAATTTTGTTTATTTTAATTAACAATACGAATAAATTTCCAATAAAATTTTTAAAATTTCTAAAC